ATGTGCAGAATCACAGTGATGCATCATGACAGTTTACAGAGCTGGATTGAGTTTACAAATGAAATAGAGTTCGTCCCAGTGTCAGAGGGTAAGACCATGAGGTCTCAATGTGATCAGCACCAATATTAATATATTAATGTTCTGGACTGTGTTCTGTGACTCCTGTCAGTCATTTATCAGAAAATGTTAAATTAAAATTAATCATTGTTGTGTGCTATTCAGAAATGAAATAAAAACACTGCCCATCTATTTTAAAATGGCATCTGATATTATTAGAATAACCTTCAGAAAGTTATGTATTGTTTTTTTGAAAAACTATTTGAAAATGTATTTCCATTTACTGTATAGAATTTTTATGAATTGTTTTCTTATTTACAGCTGACTATTAAATCTGTTATCCATTGAAATTTGAACAGTTGCTCATTTTTTGACATACTGTAATTCCAGAATTAAGACTGCAACTTTTATCTATTTTATTTATAATTTATTTTTTAATATAATTTATATCAATATACACAATTTGATGCTTGTCCCGTTTGCTCTGTTTATGCAATTTATAATAGATGTAATAAAAATATAGTAAAAAATCTATTTACTAAAAATATAAAAATTTGTTTATATTTTATATATACGCTATTTATTTGCTCAAATGTTCTATTTATTTAATAATAAATTTATTAATAAATTTAAAAATTATATATTATATACATATATAGTATACACATATTTTATATATAGTACACACACTATATATATATATATATTTATAGTGTATGTGTGTGTATATGTATACACACACACACACACATAATATATTGATCACTTTTACCATTGTTTTATTCAATTATATCTATATATATTCTGTATTTATTGCTAGATTTATTTTTGTAATTGTAACTTTTATTTTAACGTTGTTTTATTCAGTCATTTCATTCACAGTGCCATTAAAATTAATAAATGCAAATGAACTGCCCAAAACCCCTGAACTTATATTTCCATAGCATAATTTTGAACTGATTGTTTAATATATTGTAAGTTCAAAAATGACACCAAAGTATACATTTGGCTTTAACTGTCCTTCTTTTTCCGTTCATTCTGGCAGTTTGTATGAACTTTACATGGATTCCCAATGGGAGAGTTGTAATTAGGTATTTTTAATTGTCTGAAGTATTTTCAAAATAACCAGATGTTATAAACATGTCTCGTCAAATCATGCAACCAATTACGGTGATTCAAACCACAAGCTCATGGAGAAAATGATTCCTCCTTTAAGTTGGTTTTAGGTTTGAATCGACATGTTGTATTTACTTTTGTGAATTATGTCGAGAGCGCAGGGCTTTTCTCTCAAACCTCATTTCATGTTATTTAAACCACCAGATGCTTTCGAGCAACTAAAATACTGTATGAAGATGAATCGCTTGCGCCATATGTCCATGTCATAATTAGTGCCTCAGACAGGCAGACTACACAGAAATTTGACTTCTCAGTAAAGGTTCATGAAAATATACATGCAGGGTGGGACTGTCATGTGACCCACGAGTCACATGATATCATGAAAGCTTTCTGAGCTGGTTTCCATGGTGATGGATGCTGTGACGCAGCACAGAGTAAATATTTGGTCGTTTTCTTTGATTCGAGACTTCCTGAGCGTTGCTCAGAAATGTGTGTATTTGTTTATAACAAAACACTTATCCAAGACAGGGCATTTTCTTTTTCATTTTTTCAGCTAGTGTACCTGATTGTAACCCATTTAGAATTTTTAAATCATTTAAATAAGTTTTTGAAATATACTTCAAACCAATGCATTCAACTAGGTACAATAATATTGCATTATTATTATATTATTATTTCAGTGTTCAGAAACAACAGTTTTAGTATCTTTAGCTCCATCTATTGGTTGTTTGATGAGATTGCAACTGTCCTGCATTTTAAAGGGATATTATCATATCATCAGAAAATGTAAAATCAGAATGAATGATAATTGTGTTATTCAAATATGAAATGCAAATCCCAATTATTTAGGATTGTGTCAATATAAGGCCTTTTACAACTATATTATTAGCTGCATATTTTAAATATAATACTATATATAATTTAATGAATTTATGCATTTAGCAGACACTTTTATCCAAAGCGACTTACAGTGCATTCAGGCTATACATTTTTTACCAGTATGTGTGTTTCCTGGGAATCGAACCCATGACTTTTTGACAACACAATGCTCTACCACTGAGCCACAGGAACACTAAAACAAGACTGCGGTTTTACTATTATATGTATTAGAGAGAGAGAGAAATTATAGAAATTAACATCTGTGTGTGTGACATAGAAATAAATAATTCTTGATGTTTTGGAGGGGGAAAAACAGATAAAAAAAACATTTTTTAAAATTTATTAATCACATTTTTATATAGTTTTCATGACATTTTATATGCACACATTTTCAGGCAGTGCATGGTATAGTACTTTCCAATAGATATATGCAACACACATTTGACACAAACTGAACCACAATGTTCACAATGGGGTACTGACATCAGTACACGACCAGAGGAAGAAGAGTTCTTCATCATCATCATCAGTCATTAGTGTCATTCAGCATCTGTAGATAATATTCATCTCCCCCAAACCCACTTTACTCACGCGCTCCAAAAGTATTAGTCCATCTGACTCGTTTCCACTCCCTTTGGCAGTTTTTTTTAACAGTATTGGCCAGTATTGTTCGTTTATTGTGTTTCATTTTATTGTTTCTTGTCTCTTCTGAAAACACACTCCCAGGCGCTCAGAGGAAAGCCAGAACTGCCATTAGCATAGAAAAGTCTTATTGCTCCCGTCTGTGAATTAGAAACAAGGAATTTCAAATGTCAGATCCGTCCACCTAGAATGTTACGCAACTGTTACATTGTAAACTCAACATGGGTGGTTTCCAGAGGCGTTGTTATGCTCTGAATGTTATAAGTTTTTTAGAATGTTGCTACATGGTTGCTAGGGTGTATTGCATGGTTGCTAGGTGGTTACATACTGGCCTAACAGAGTCTCTGTGGAATTTTTTTTTTTCAATCATAAATAGTGATGCTTAGTAGACATGAAATCTTTGGGATATATTTTCTTTATGATGTTAAAACCATGTAGCTACAAACTCTCTAAAATTGTCAGTGATCCTTCCTCCAATCAAATGTCAGAGAAATCATTTCCATCCCTTTGATAAGGCCAGATAAATCCAAAAGGGATATGCATATACTGTTCATTTACACTAATGAAAAATATGCTGTTTTATCTAGAAGGCAGTACAGTTTTTGTCAAAAACACTGTTTTTTTGTTTTCTAATTCACAGGAGTGGCTCAATAAAATTCATATCGTGTGAAAGTCAGTCTGCGTTGCATTACAGTGAAATTGTTGATGCAAGTAACGTTTAATTAAAGGGGTCATATGTTGCGATTTCAATTTTTCCTTTCTCTCTGGAGTGTTACAAGCTCTTGGTGCATAAAGAAGATCTGTAAAGTTGCAAAGACTAAAGTCTCAAATCCAAAGAGATATTCTTTATAAAAGTTAAGAGTCAACCACACCTACCTAAAACGGCTCGTTCTAACACGCCCCCACATATCTACCTCACTATGTGGGAAGATTTGCATAACGCCGCCCAAATGTTCACGCAAAGAAAGAAGGCGCAACTTTTTTTCTCGCTGTAGTATTGTTGCTGCCGTCATTACACCAAATACACAAAATAATGTTCTTTTTAGCAACATCATATGACCCCTTTAAATATTCTGGGTTTGGTGCGACTTAAGCTGCATGAGCAACATCTGTGGAATTGTTTATCGTATCATTTTTGCAAAAACAAGGAACGACGCATGTACAGTAATGCACTTTCAGTGGAAGTCTGCACTGGAATAAATGCTAAAATATTCACTGTTTTCAACATAAAGCCACAGGACTTAAACATCATACATGTTAACATGAGAATAGTGTGACTTATTACCATTTGACTTATTCTGACAATGTAAAATCCAGTAACCTTCCACAGACTTGGATTGTACAGTAAGTGCATTTTTGTTTGTTTTTACAAACTAAAGGATGAGATTACTGTCTGTGCTAAACGGCAGCAGGCCACAGATGCCACCCATAGGGCTTAAGTAGTCTTAGTAATAATAAGATGCTAGAAGGTACTCATTGGGATTGATGTTAAACACCGACATCCAGCTGTAATCACTGTAGACAAACTCATTCACTCACAATTCAGTCCACAGCTTTTCCTTTAGATATCTTCAATTCTTATATCATTCACACAGCGTGTTAAATAAATCAAGGTCTACATTTCTTAGCACATCCAAAAAAAGTGTAAATTTCCTTCCTGAAGGACGTGTGTTCAGTTATTATTAGTAGTTGGATTGTGAGAATAAAGTCTGCGTATTTTATTGTTGTAATGCATAATTTTGTTGTTGTTGAAATGGGAATTAACAGTTATGCTATAGCTTTCAACAGTTGGAACCTGTAAGTTTTTTTTTTTTTTTTTTTTTATGTGTTTTTGAAAAGTCACCAAGACTGCATTTATTTGATCAGGAATACAGTAAAAAAAACAGTAACATTGTGAAATATTATTATAAATCAAAATAACTGTTTTCTGTAATATATACAGTGGGTACGGAAAGTATTCATATATGTAATATATGGTAAAACGTAATTTATTTCTGTGATCAAAGCTGAATTTTCAGCATCATTACTCCAGTCTTCAGTGTCACATGATCTTCAGAAATCATTCTAATATGCTGATTTGCTGCTCAAAAAACCGTTTCTGATTATTATCTTTGTGGAAACGGATACATTTTTTTCCAAGATTCTTTGATGAATAGAAAGTTCAAAAGAACAGCATTTATTTGAAATAGAAATCTTTACATTATAAACATCTTTACTGTCATTTTTGATCAATTTAATGTGTCCTTGCTGAATAAAAGTATTCATTTCATTTAAAAAATCAAATATTACTGACTCCAGTCTTTTTAATTCTGTTTTTAAAGTTGTTTTTGAAGGCAGTTCTGATATCAGGACGTTTGAATTGCCTTTCTCTTATTAATTATTAGTTAAAAGCAACTACAGTTTGTAAAATAATCACTGGGATTTTAAGTTACCTAAAAACCTGATAATTTCTCCAATTGATCTGCTCTGATGTGTGATGTTTGACTGCTTTCATTGCATAAATGTGAGGAGTCTGCAGAGATCTCATGATGTCTTTGTTAATTATCTCCAGTGATGGAGGGTTAGATGGACCAGATCTCCTTGATCCAGTTTGCCTTTGACTAGCTGTTTTCATGATAACCGGCCGGATGCATGCAGAAGCCCCCCGTTATTCTTTGCATAGACAGACGGTCTGTCCTCGCACAGTAGAGCATAATTGTACATGATTGGATCAACCTGATGACTAGATATTCACAATATAATTTCAATATTAAATTCAGATTTGTATGCAATCTGCTCCGTGATACTGTAGCTTATATCCTGTTTTTCCTCAGCACCGTGTCATGTTGTGGCCAGCAGCATCATTATATCTCTCTCTCTCACCGTGCATTTGTTCTAATGCCCGACTTTCTAGTTGCTAGGAGACGAACAAGTGCATAAAATTTCCCATTGCGGCGATCAATGTTTTCGCTTGTCTCGCTTTTATCCTTCATGTGAACCGACATCTGTTGTTTTGTTTTTTTTAACTCGAATGATTTGTTTCAAGTTAAATGTGTGTGTTCGTTTACAGTACGTTATCTTTTTAAGATGGTTTAACAGGACTGAGTGTCTCATACATCTGTTTTCAATCGCTCTTCAACTCCAAGATTTGATTTATGAGGGAAGACGTTAAAACGTGTTAGTACTAGTTTGACGTGAACACAGATTTTGTACAAACGTCCTTTAAAGTCAGCATGAAAACAACCCTGTTATTTTCCAATCACAATTAATTAGTCCTCGTTATTTTTAACGCAACTGCTGTTTTTCATGATTGTACTTGTACTACGCCCAATGTGTCATATTATGGAAGTAAAATGGGTTTCATGTTGACTTTAGACACTCTCTTGGGTTTTTTAAAAGCAACCTCATCAAATTCTCCTCCTCTTTCTCGTAGTTCAGTCCCGTCTGGACTTGGACACACTTGATTTCCATCAGTCCTTTTCTTTAGACAGCACAAGAAGGAAAGATATTGTCCAAAGGTAGCATAGAGAAACAAAGGCGTTGTGATGTCATAAACCACCATCGTTGGTTTAAAACCAGCTGCTGCTTTTCCCTCATCGCTAGAGAGTCTCTTCGAACCTGTGAATCTTTCTCACCCCCGTCTGGACACCCGCTCAGGCCTTCTGACCAAAAACCAGCTCTCAGCCAAGGTGACTGTTTGACAGCCTGCCATCAACAGCCTTCTGATTGGTTCACCCCGAAAACGTTAATCATCAGGTTACTTGTTAAGGGGCTTGTTGACCTTGGGCGTCCCTGTGCTGACGGCGAGCGTCTGGACGGCTGTGGCCTCGTCGGCTGTTACCGTGGTAACCGTGTCCTTTTTGGAATTGTCAGGTTCCCAGAGGAAGAACTCGTGCAGGAGCGTGTTGACCATCTCGGGACACTCCATCATCACCATGTGACTGCCTTCCTCGATCACTTTCAGGAACGCAAACAAGAGGATCTGGAATAAAGACCATTTACATACAAAAGTTATTATAAATATTTAAAAAAACGTCTGTAAATATAATTTGTGACCCTGGACCACAAAACCAGTCTTAAGTGTCAATTTAAGTGTTCATCTTTTTTCTGAAAGATGAATAAATAAGCTTGCCATTGATGTATGGTTTGTTATGATAGGACAATATTTGGCCGAGATACAACTATTTGAAAATCTGGAACCTGAGTGTGCAAAAAAATCTAAATACTGAGAAAATCACCTTTAAAGTTGTCCAAATTAAGTTCTTAGCAATGCATATTACTAATCAAAAATTAAGTTGGCTATTGCTACAAATATACCCCCGCGACTTAAGACTGCTTTTGTGCTCCAGGGTCACATTTTATTATTATTAATCATATATGTTATATTGTTATTTTAATATATAAATATAATGTGTTTAAATACTTTTTGTATATTGAAAAATATATTAAATATATTTAAGTACATTTTATAATTATGCATATGATATTTTAAACTGTTACATTGCAAAAATTATTTTATACGTTATATATTTTATAATGTATTTTACATAAATACTTTGTATGTATATAATGCTACAGTGTGCTGACTTTGTTTTGCATTTTTATGCACCTGTATTTCAGACAATGTGCATGCTTTTTATGTTCCTTTGATATAAAACACTTAATGTATAAAATATATATTTTGTAAAGTAACATTAGTATATAACATGTATTTATAATGTATAAAATACAGTATAATATAATAGAAATACTTATGCAAATAAGGTTTATAAAATACAAAACATTTAAATATATAATTTACATAAATTACATATAAAAATTTATAACTTAAGCTAAAGAATAAATATTTTTATATTACATAAATACTACATAATATATATATATATATATACACACACACACACACACACACACACACACACACACATATATATATATAT